CTTTGATGTACAGCCGCTATGGGAACAGTGGTCTGGATCAGTGTTTCTCAAACGTTACTGTGCATGTGAGTCACCAGAGGATCTTGTTCAATGTGGATCTGATTCCTTAGGCTGGAGAGGAGCCTGGGTGTCTGCATTTCTAACAGGCCTCCAGGTGATGGCGCTGCTGCGATGTGGGAGCCACTTTGAGTGGTAGACAGCCACTTAGTAGAGCTTATCACACAAGAGACTCAGGAATGGAGTATAGTGAAGGGGGTGGTTTAGACTCTGCAGGGGTCCTCAGACTTTTTAAACAGGGGGCCAGTTCACTGTCCCTCAGACCATTGGAGGGCCGGACTGTGGGCCGCCGGGCAAGTCGGATGCTAAGCAGGACAGGCAGTGGCTGCAAAAACAACACCCTGCGGGCTGGATAAATGTCCTAGGCGGGCTGCCTGTGGCCCACGGGCTGTAGGTTGAGGACGCCTGCTTCAGAGCATCCTGAGAGTTTCAGAGAAGTCGTTTAAACCTCAGATATGTATTTATTTAGGAAATAACGTGGTGGAAGGGAAAGAGTGTTGGTTTAGGAGTTAGATCCGACTCCCATATTCCTGATTTACCATCTGGGTCTCCTTCAACAAGTTATTTCTTCATTTTATGTCTTACTTTCCAATGGGCGAAATAGATACAATAACATCTCTTTGGCAGATTAGCATTAGGGAAAATGTGTTTAAAGGACCTAGCATAGGTCTTAACACAGAGCAGGGGTTCAGAAAAGTAGTGCAATTATTATTCTTTATGCTGTGGAGTCCTTTTCTTGTTGGAAGACCCAAACTGTAAACTTGTATTAATGTGCATAGAAAGTATTGTTAGGAACCTTTAAGTAGTTTTGCTTCAGAGACATACTTCTGTTGTACAGCCAAGAAAAAGCTATGGTTACTTAAGGTAGAAATTATCTTTTTTTTTTTTTAAAAGACAGAGTCTAGGTCACCCTCGGTAGAGTGCTATGGCGTCACAGCTCACAGCAACCTGAAACTCTTGGGCTCAAGCAATTCTCTTGCCTCAGCCTCCCAAGTAGCTGGAACTACCGGTGCCCACCACAATGCCCGGCTATTTTTTTGTTGTAGTTGTCATTGTTTAGCTGGCCTGGACTGGGTTTGAACCCGCCAGCTGGGTGTATGTGGCCGGTGCCATAACCACTGTGCTACAGGTGCCAAGTTGGTAGAAATTATCTTGACCTAATGAAAACTGCTCTACTTGTTCTTGTTTGCTTCTGCATAATTAATTTTTGCAATCATCTCAGGTCTTGGCCTGATAAAATATGACAAATGACCCACTGATTGAAATAAATATTTGTTCAGCACCTATTACTCTGAGTCAAATAATTCTGAACTATTGTGACTCTCTATGCACTAAAAACATACTTCAGAGCTTAGCTCTTTGCGTCCTTTTCTCCTTTGAGAGACCCCCCCTCCCTCGTTTAGGGACTTGGGCTTCAGGTTGGGCAAATACTCTGTCAGCACCCTGTGCACCCCATCATGACCTTGTCTCCATAAGCCTGCAGGCTTCTCCTCTTTTTTTATCTTCAAGGTTCTTGAAGGCATAGGGCTCTTTGTAGCCCCATAGCTTGGTACAGTACCCGCACCTAATTATTGTTGAAATGATTATCACAGAGATGCTTTCAAGGAGATCAGAGTCTGAAGGGTGTAAGAGCTCAAGGAATGCTTTCCAGAAAAGGTGATGCTTGGGTTGAGAGGTAAAAAGGGACAGCAGGTAGGGGGAACAGAGTAACTGGACAGCACGGTGCATTTGGGGAACTGTACAGGGTTTGGAGGAGCCAAAGCACTGGATGTTCAGGCAGGGCCCGTGGCTCAGTCTGCAGGGCGCCGGCCACATACACCAAGGGTGGCCAGTTCCAACTCGGCTCGGGTCTGCTAAGCAACAGTGACAACTGCAATCAAGAAATAGCTGGGCGTTGTGGTGGGTGCCTGTAGTCCCAGCTACTTGGGAGGCTGAGGAAAGAGAATTGCTTACGCCCAGGAGTTTGACAATGTTGTGAGCTGTGATGCCACTGTGCTCTACCCAGGGTGACAGCTTGAGACTCTGTCTCAAAAAAAAAAAAAAAAGCATGGAGTGTTTGGGGGAATAGTGGGTGAACCTGGAGTACAGGTGAAGGCTAGCATGTAACAGATTGTAACGGCAGCTAAGGAGATTAGACTTTATCTTGAGGATGATAGGAGACCAGGGATGGGTTTTTAGCAGGAATGTGTGGAGGGCGGGTTGGGGGTGATATCAGATAAAGAGAAACTGGTTAGGAGTTTTATACATAAGCCAGGTAATCAGAGCCCAGCTGTTACCTTAATGCCTTTTCTGGCCTTAACTCCTTTTACTCAGAACAGAGTGGTTCCCTCCAGAGGCGCCCTTTGCTTGGTCTGCCTCCACCAGTGCTTTGACCTTAGAGCAGGTTTTCAACCTTTTTATCTAACTGCACACTTGAGCCTATAGTTAAACTTCTGTGGAACACTTAAATTATGTTGATCCAAAAAAAAAAAAGAGTAAAAAAAAAAAAGAATATACTTACTGTGCTTTGAAGTTCTTTGGAAAATAATTAATGATCTTTAACATTTTCGGTGGCACACCTAAGATCCTCTCATTTTGCACTGGTTGAAAATCACTGCCTTGGAGCATTACATAGCCCAGTTGGTCCTGGGGATGGGCCTCTGGCCCGTCTTAGGCAAAAGATGCAGCCATATTTGTTCTAAGGAGTGAGCTGGATCCTTGGTAACTTCTTGGACATTTACTGGGTTTCAATCCCAGGTCTCCTGTGTCCCAGCTGTAGGGAACATTGGAGAAGTCATGTATTTTTTCAGAACCTCATCCATAAAATGGAGATAAAGCTGACTCTTCAGTGCTTTTAGGGGATTGAATTTCATGATGATAAAATTTTTTTTTTTTTTTTTTT